TTTCCTAGGGCTGAGAGAGAGGGACTGGCCCAAGGTCACCCAGCTGGCTTTGTGCCTAAGGACTAGAACTCAGAGTCTCTAACATGGTTTCTTAACCATCACACCAGACTGGCTCTCTTGATGGAAATAGGCAATGAAAAATTTTAAACATAAAATTTTGTATTTATATTAATGAAATATTACAGGATATTTCAATAATGAAATATTAAAGATAAAAAGAATATACTTATAATTTAGATTCATGGTTAACAAAGTCACAGAGAAAGAAAGCAAAATAAAAATTAAAAAATTCTACCATAGATTCAGGCATTCCAACATCTCGCCCTATCTTGCATTGCTATGACTGCATTCATGTTGTTCAATTACATCAAATATTGCTCTAATGTAATAACAAGCCTCTTCTTTTTAAAACTTGTACTGTTGTCCTCTGATGAAATCTACCTTTTTACCATTTGGCATACACAAGGATTAGCAGCATGTAAAACCACAACCCCTACTGTGCCTGCCCTAGCCTCAACTGCACATGTGCTAGCCTCACATTAACTGAATTCTGGGTTGCATTAAACGTGACCTGATATCAATTTACAATTCACACTAAATCCAATATTGCATTATGTGAACTCGCACGAATTGCAACCTACCTGTATGCTCCTCTCTCAAAATATTAGGACCATTCAAAGCAGCTCAATAATGGGGGAGTCAAGACAGACATTAAGCATGTACTTCTACAGCAAGCAATTAAGTGTAGAAGTCAGAAACCCACGGCATAGGCCGCCAACTTGGAAAGTTTGAAATGGAATTTGAAAGGTTCACAGAAACAATCAGTGGATAGCAGGCGTAGCTGCTATGTTAACTTCCATGTCAGCGGCTAATTGCCTCTCAGTATCAGTTCCTGGAGAAGACAAGAGGAAGGCAGACATTATACTATGCCTTGTTTGTGATTTTCTACCAGGTATCCAGCTAAACGCTGGACTAGACAAGATTGTGACCCAATCTAGCCCAGCTCTTCTTAAACCTTCTATTAAATAAGCAGAAGTTGAGCCAAATGAACAAGGATGTCAGTACTTTCAAAACAGAGTAGTGGTGAGAAATCTTCACAGTGAGATGTTTGCTTTTTAATTAAAGCTTAAAG